GAATTCCATCCCTGCCTGTATTTAAGAAGCCGTGGGGGGCGGGGAAGAGAATGCTTTTTTACTTATAAGGTGTGTAAGAAACACCTTAATGAACAGTTCAGTCATTTACTGTAAGGATCATATCTCATTCATATATCCATTTGTGAACTCTGGATACTCATGCAATTATACGGATGAATGTTGTGGTACAAGTCCTGAAGATTAATGGCAGTTTTCCATTGTTTTGTTGGAAAAAAGCACAATAAAAGCATAATGTAATGGTGACAGGATTGCTGGATTGATTACATGCCATCAAGTCAGTATCAATTCTTAATAACTGCATAGACCTTCAAAATGATCTGTTCCAATTTAGCTAATCAAGTCCTACAATGGTTCACCCAAATCTGCTATTCATTCATTCATTCATTCATTGCTGCTGTTCATCTTTTCTTCCCAACCCTGGAGACTTTTCAAGAGAATTAGAGCTTTGTCTATTGTGCCAAAATATATCTAAAATAGGTCATCATATTTCAATATTCGATTGATTAGTTCTACAGTCCATTTGTTTCTTTATTTTGGTATCTTGGCTTCTCAAGCACCAAAGTTAAAAGCATTTTTAAAATCCTGCTTCTTCAACTTTTGTTTCCGTAGAATAACAAAGGAAAAACATTTCCTGCAGCACTCTTTTCTTTAAAGATATAGGCAAATTATGATATCTGAATATCTTTTCCAAGGCCTTTATTGCAACCCTACAAAGTATATTTATTTCTTGACTGTTTAACCATTGAAAGGCAGAAGCTATTCACCATGTATACAATCATATGCTTGGTGGGAGGACTTTGAAAGTCTTCCATCCAATGTTCTACCTAGGACAGGAATCCCAGATAAATAGTTGTTCAAACCTTGTTTAAAAGCTTCCAGGAGACAGGATGCTTAATAGCTCTCATGGTAAAAAAAAACCTCCTCCTTATTGTAAACAAAATCCAAAACAAATAGCTGTCTCAGCTAGATGACTGAGTAGGACAAATGACATTTAGCTGAATAGGTGGTTTTCCCATGCAAACAACACAAAGGAAAGTTCCCTCTTCCTCACACAGCATTCCCTGGTTATCTGCAAATGTCCAATCAGGTGCTTGAATATTGTTCAGGAAACAAGTGCTTAGTCCCCAGCCCTGCGTATCTTGAATGACCTTGGCTGGCTGGAGCTTCTCACATGGCTCAGCTGGGCTTCCATCCTCCCCTTTCTTCACATTCACCAAGACAAATTCCTTGTGTGTCCAATCACACTTGGCCAATAAAAATTCTATTCTATTCCAATCCTTCCTTCTCCCACAACCTCCATGCTAATGTCTGGCTGCCAACTCATGAAGCATGGATAGGTGAGATGCAGCCATGACAATAGCCCACACATGGGGGAAAAAATCCAAACAGTTCATGACTTCTTATGCAGTGACCACATCAAAATGCCATGCCCTGGAAGTTCCAATAAGGATTTCCAATTCCGTAAATCTAATGATTTCTTTATGGCTAATATAATCTTGGCCTTCTTTTACTTAATCTTAATCCTGTTTTTTTTCCACTGTGCTTCTTGACTAGAACCTCCAGATCTTTTACATTTTCAGCTATCAAAGTACTGTTATCAGCATACACAATTTGTTAAAAACACTCATTTTTTTCCCATAGACTCTCCTTCCATATATATTAAGCATATCGGTTGGCAAAGCAATGAGACAAACATGTCTCATTCCTTTGCCAACCTACCACTAGACTGTTTTGCCATATTTCAATCACACTTGCAAACCTGAAGTATATGAATATACACATATACTACATGTACAGAATTGGACAACCTGGAATCTGAATGGTCAGACTCGAGAAAGGACTTATAGAAATCATGCTTTTTGCAAGGCCATTTCTTCAGGTTAGGATAAATACTGTTTGTGATTCCCTGTAGAGCAAACAATGAAAAAAAAAAACAGACTCCATTGGGTTGTTCTTCCCCCTCACACCCACATATACATACATTAAACAGGTCAAATATTTTTGTAGTGCTCCAACAAGACAGCAGAGGACAATGCATCCATCTTGGCTAAATGTCATTAAAATGTCAGGATTGTGATAGATGTGCAATAAAGTGGGTACAAACCCACTGAACATTCAATATCCGTTGAACCAAACAATGTCCACAATTTTCGAAAAGATCACTTCTGAGGTTCCAATGCTTTTTTTCCTTTCAAAGAGCATTGTCAACTTTAACGTATTTTGAGATAACTGGTATCAAGCAACAAAACTGAAAGAACAACATATTGTCCTACAGAAGTTTGATACTACATGGTGTCACTCCACTGTGAACTGAAAATGCTAAGCATATCTGGCACCATTGTCTGAAAGCAAGCTAAATTTCGTTCTGTTCATTTGTTTTAACAAAAAAAGATGTATTTTTCCATTCAAGCATTTTGCTTCTCTGTCTCATAGAGAACACTGATATACTGGAATGATTTTAAAAGGCTTGTTTTTATTTTCATGATTGTACATAGGTAATTAAATTATACCTCAACACACTTATAAATGGGTATGTATGCTACTAAATAGTTAATGACATGAATTAATGGGAAGGATTTATTTAACTGTTAGCAGTGTAAATAATTTTGTATAGACAGATTACGATACTTTGGTGAAGACCTTACAAAAAGTACAGGCATATCTCAAATAATATGAAATTATGCTTCAATTTCTATGTTAGCATATTGTATCGGTCAATTTGCTTCAAAGGAATTTTATATATATATTTAAAAAACCAACATGCCCTCCATTTTCTATCATTATGCATTCTTTTTCAAAATATAAGTGAAATTTTGGCAAATAACATTTATACCCCCCAAAAGTTTTATATCATTCCCAAATCAATGTATTCTACAAAATTAGAATAAATAAAACTATGCCCTTAATATTTCATTATTAGGCTGTTATTTAATACAGACCCAAAGCAAGAAGCACAAAGATTAAATAAATTATGGTGAGTATGAGCAGAATAGAGCTCAGAATAGTAATTGTTTCTTTGGAAACAGCTGTACATATGGGGCAAGTCTATACTTTCATAATTTCTGTTGTCCTAGATAGTCTTGCTGAAACTAATAGAAATAAGTTACTTTTGCAAGTGGACATTACATTTGACATACACATTCACAGTTAGTTTAGCATATACACGTGTATATGTACATATGTGTGTGCACATGTATACCCACAAATACATACAAATGTAGGACAGGGTCAGAACTTGTTTTGTGATCTCATATAAAGATTATGTTGGAATGAAATTTAATTTGTTTTTGTTTAAATGTCAAAATTTAGAAACTGATGAAATTAAGAAACTTGTCAAAACAACTAAAGTCCTTCCATGCAAATACTTGAAAATTAAAATAACTAAATAGGACTGAAATCAAATAATATTGCCCTCTTCAAAGCAGAGGAATGTTAATATGCTTATTAAAAAACAAAACATGTTCATGAAGGTGGAATCCGAGCAGAATAAAAATTGTTGACCATAAAGTGGAAGAGACAAATGGAGCAATATTTCCTCAAAAATCTGTAACGGTGTAGGTGAGGGACAATTTAAATCTATACTTTCAAAACTGGACAATGTCGTTTTCACCATTTGTACATTCTCTGTAACACATACTTTAAAACTACATAAACCACTTATTCCAACATATTCCCAGGGAGATCAACTTGATTTTTATCTGGAAGAAATAATTTAATATTTAATATATTGGTTAATATAGGAACAAAACAAACTTATATCCAACAGAGGGGATCTCTCTAAGTTGTTTTAAATACATTTTCTTTTGTTCAGTTTTTATCTAGGAAGAAAACTCACAAATATCTTAAAAGTCTGTTTTTCAATAGAGTAAATAATATCAGTGATTCTAAGAAAATAATTAAATGTTCATATATTTTTTCTACAGTTTAAATATTTTTAACATACATAATTTGCCATTTGTATTGTTGAATAATCTACCAAATATTTAAATGGATCGTTTAAAAAAATTATTAACTAGCACAGAGGTTAAGTAAACAGCCAAGTCAACAAACAAGTTATAACGACAAATTTATAAATAAAAACAAAAGTTGCATACATTTTTCTCACAGTTGAGATGAAAATAAATGCAAGATTACAACATGTTTTCCATAACATTTTTGGATGTATGGTATGTGTTCCTCTTTAAATGATTAAAACTACTATTAATATAAACATTAGACATTTGAAACACAAAATTAATACTGAAAAATAAAGTTATTAAAAATAAATTAGTAGATCTGTCTCTTAGAATAGGCAATGTTGCCAAACCCATATCAATCTGAAAAGCCTAAGTTAAAATACTGCAATCTTTTATAATTTTCTTAAGGGAAAATGTTTCCAATAATTATGCATATTTTTAGACAAGTTTTTGTTTAGAAACATTAATTTAAAAACTACATACTTATGTGATATATGTGCAATATACAAAACATTAAATGTAATGTATTTGGTTCAACCTTCCAAACCAATTTGTGTATAAATTTTTGAAAATCAATGCAGTTTTGAAAAAGTAAATATTAAAATATGTTTTGCCCATATTGAATGCTGTATACGATACAGTATACAGCTGTATATAATACCCTGTTTCTCCAACAATAGGCCTCCCCCAATAGGAAGTCCCAGCATGTTTTATAGGCATGAAATTAAGCCCCTCCCCCCAAATTAAGGCCTATATTAAAACACGCGAAATGGAGGGGAAATGGCGGGTGGGGCTTGCTGTTGGAAGTACTTTTGTTGCACACCCGGATATGGTGCTGCCTGCGTTGACCCTGATACAAAGTGCCCCACCAACGCCAAGGACAACATCCAAGCCGTCGCCGCCCGCCCTAAGATGCAAGGGGGGGGAATTAAGTCACCCCCGAAAAGACGGCCTAGCCGTTTTTTCGGGGCTCAAAAAAAATAAAGACCCGGCCTTATTATATGAGAAACACATTATATTCTGTATTTAATACAGCTGTATTAAACATAATCTTGCATTTCTGTGACATAAAGTAAGCTTTTAAATAAACAATTAAAAGAACCAGTTTCTTTTTTGTTTGTTGTAATCTTTTTTAATTTTACTTTTAAAATATGGCAGTAGTAACAATGAATTAAAATGAAGCTCTTTTTATATAGTTTTCTATGTTTTCCTAATTGTCTCTATTAAAGTCACTTATTAGCTTTTACAGTGACTGCACTGAGTTTTGAGTTGAAATAGAATTTCATATAATCTTATATAATCTGTAGCCCCATTTATTTCACTGGGAAGAAGTTATTTTATAATAAATGATTTTTGGTAACCTGATTGCAAATCTGAAAGCTGAATCACTTGGCATAGATTCAATTATAGACTGCAGTGTCACTTAAGTTTCAAGTTTTATGTGACAAAATTTAGGCACTTCTGCAAAGACTTCTTTAAAAAATATTCTCTCCTTGTAAAATAACATAGTCAAGATTTTTGTTAGGGGTATGAAAATCATACTGTGCAAAGGTTTGATTTACTTCTAGAATGTTGTGATTCCATATAACTTCTCCATACATATCCCAAAGCAGCTTCTGTGCATTGCTGCAATTTGTGCTTTACCTTAGATCGGGATGAAGAACTATGGCCTTTTTATAACTTGTAGACTTCAACATCCAGAATTCAGCTAGTCATGTTGATTCAGGAATTCTGGGAGTTGAAATCCGCAAGTCATAAAGGGTCCATAGTTCACCACCTTTGCCTTAGGTCAGGGTGTCAAACTGGCAGCCCGCAGGCCAGATGAGTCACACACAGGCCACGCCCACCCTGGCTCCGAAAAGGCAAAAAACGCTACGAAGCATCATGATACGCAACGTGACATGATTGAGTTTAACACCTGTTCCTTAGATCTTCTGTTTCAGCTTCATCCAAATGACTGTGCCTCAACCTAGGTTTCTTATGACTCCCTGGATTACCTAACCACCCACCTACCCACAGCATGACTATTGGCTATGGTGGTTGCCTATGCTGGAAGAAAAAATGCTATTTATTCGAAGGACAGCAGGGTGATTCCACTTCTAGTGGTGATTCCACAACGGGAGTGTCAAGCTGGCGGCCCTTGGGCTGGATGTATCACACAGGTCACACATACCCCAGATTGCGATACATCACGTGACATCAATGTGATGTGGCGAGTTTGACACCCGTGCACTACGGCATCACTTACTTTGTCACCAAACAATCATCACAGTGCAAATAGTGGCACTGATATACCCAAAGTAATTTTTTAAAGAATTCCCTTGACCTACATCCCTGGAACCAGATTCTCCTTTTTAGCATTATAAAGTACTTTTGAAAGTCCAGTTTCAAAAGCATTTCTCTGTGCAAACTGGGGTGCAGGGAAGTCAGCTGAAGAAACATGCAACCAAAGCAACAGCTCTCATGGGAAACTATTTATGTAGTTAGATCCTGGATTTGGTGGCCAATGTAAATCAGTTATTGCTAACATTGAAAGAGTCATAAAACTGTGAACCCTGCGATACATGAATGGGACTACTTACATTCACTATTTATGGTGGTAAGACAATATTCCTAAGTAAACAGTGTTATATAAAACTTTTAAAAGTAAAATATTACCCTTTTATGTCTTGAACCATCACAGCTGGCATCAGGTAGTTAACTAGATTAGTTTTGAATATACTAAGCATACCATCTTAATATTCATATATGATATAGCAGCACTAGCTCTTAAGTGTGTTTTCTCCAGATGAATAAACTCTTTACTCAGCATGCAGTTTGTGGCAATTCTGTTAAGGAAGAGACAGGGTTGTATGTACAGTAACAATGCTTTGCTGTTCTCAACAAGGCCTCTTGACATTCCATTCCATTCCTGTTCATTATTTCAGGATTATCTGTTAGAAGAAAAGAAAACAAGGATGATTTTCAGTGCAATACTTCACTGGAATATTGGAATATTTAACTCTATTGGAACACTTAATTCTTATCAATGCTACTACTTTTCTCATTTTTTATAGTTTAAATTTAAAAAATTCCACGTAGCACATAGAAGTACATTCATTTAGGATTTTTACAAGTTAAAATATATACTACATGCAAAATTTTAACAGTAATGTTTATTAATTTTCAAAGAGCATCAGAGACCAAACCATGGATATTTAATCTCATCTTATATGCTTACTATTGTTTGGAAAGAAGTTACATATTCAAAAACAAAATACCCGATTGGGATTTTATTTCAAAACTATAAGCACTTTTTCCTTGGATGTTGATTGGACTGAAAAGTCTGATTTTTTTTCTCACAAGTTACAATTAATTAACCTCAATACAGCAGACAGATATAACTTTTAATAATTTTTGGAACATGATTTTAAAGACTTTTTTGGATTGCTTTCAGGTTGTTTTATTGCTTTTTTTAAAAAAAAAAATCTGTAGTCTGAAGCTTCATATTCAAAAGTCTTATCAGATTGAAATTTATGTATTCACATACACACTATAAAGACAGAATTTAGAATAATGCAGGACAGTCAATATATCAGGCTTTAATCATATTTTATAAAATTGGATCAACACACTATCCTTTGAAATGAATCATACAATTTAATACTAAAAAATAAATACATAATTTTTTTGGGGGGGATGTGGTTTTTTAAAAAAATAATTTTTCTCATATCTTTTAATCAACTGTTTGCATTGTTTATATGTGCATGCATGTTTGTGCTAATATGATGTATGTGTGCAATATAAAGACAACACAGGAAAATATTGGTTGAATATTTTGTTTCATTTTTTGCCTGCAATAACCCTAGCCATTGCAGTTTATAAATCATAATTTAATGACTTAGTGTGTGAGTCTTTGGTAGGCAAACTATTTTACAATAAACAAATACAGTTGTGTGGGGAAAAAAAACACAAGTTTTATGGAGGTTTCTTGTGATCAAGTTTCATGGCAAGTTTTCCTACTCTTCCTTGCAGAATTTTGCTGGCTCAGAAATATTTTTTATATAATGGAAGATAGCTGGATAATTCAGTAAAACAGCACTCTGGAATAACTGTGAAGTGCTTGCAGGAAAAATAGGTAAAGGTTTGGAAATAATCTTCTCAGTCCTCTGACTTGAATATTATTGAGAAATTGCAGGGTGATCTCAAAACATATTATAAATGCAAGGACACCTAGGAATATTTCTAAACTAGAAATGTTCTATAAGAATGAGTGGGAAAATATTCCCAAAGAACAGAAGGATTCTTGAGTTCTGGTGGAGATGGCCAACAGACAACACGCCCAGGGAGAGATCCTTGGGGCTCCCTGAAGGGTTTTTCTCTGGGCGATCGCTTTTTCAACTTACCACCAGAAGGAATTGACATTCCTTTAGTTTATATAACCCTCTTGGATTAGGGAGAATCCTAGAATCATCCCACAAGACCCTCCATACAGCAAGCAGCTTTAGGTGTGCTTTGGAGAGAGCTGGTGAGCCAGCAACTGGGAGGCAGGGCTGCAATCACTATGTTGTTGAAAAAGCAGCCATTTTTGAATTTAGTTTTCAAATGGACAATAAGTTGTGCTTTTCATTTCTTAATCACTTTTAAGAACTATTAATCTTTATTAAGCTAAGAGAAGCTCTCTTTAGTCACAGCCAATTTGGAGATTTCTTTAAATGTTAAACAAGGAAGAAGGCTGCTGAAGGCAAGTGAAAATAAGGAAGTGTGGAGTATTTTTTTTTTCAACTTTGATGGAGAAATATAGAAAGTTGTGGTTTTAGTTTATTATCTTTGAATAATTTGTAGCTTGGTCTGCTTAGCTGTGGGGGGTTAAAATGCTCCCATTTTTATGAATCCTAATTGGCCAGTAATTCTAAAGTGATCTACCAAAAATCTTTGACCAAAGAGGGAGTTAAGAAGATGGCGGAGCAAATTATTTGGAAAAAAAATAAGTTTATAGACCAGTTATGTTCCAAGGATGTTAAAAAAAAACCTACTCAAATTACTTCAGAGATGCTATTATGTATAGGAAGCTACCAAACCACTGAGGCAATTTCACAAGTAGCTGACAATGCCAAAGACTAAACTGCAATCTTGGAACATAAACCTGACACCAATCTTTATTATGATGGTTTATATATAAATCTCCCAACACAATTGAAAGAAGAGAATTTGTAACTTTCGAGAAGACAAGTTTGGGACTTTTTCTTCTTGGATACTAAGAAGATTGAGAAATCGTTGAGAAAAAGTGGATTCTTAGCTGCAAAAGTTGGTGGAGTTAACAGAGATGGCTAAGCTGACTGCTTTGATTGAAGAAAAACACAATTACTTTTGTTCCTATTTGGAAACCATTTCTGAACTTTGTGCTTGAGGCGGAAAAAAAATGAAACTTTAATTTTGGGTTTTACTGATTGGATAGGTTTGTTGTTATAGAAATGGCTAGTTTATACTACTATGTAAAAGTAAAAACTTGAGTTTTGATGTTATTATCTTATTCTACTGCCCCAAAGGGGTTAGGGTTAAGGTTTTCTTTCTTTTTCCTCTTTTTTTTTACACTTTTCCCTTCCCTCCCCTTCCCTCTCCCCTATTTTTTCTATATTTTATATTATAAACTAATAAAAAAGAGATCCTTGAGAAAAATAATTTATAATTATTTGTAGACATTCCAGAGAAGAAAAATATTTTATTCTGTGAAGATAAATGGGAAGGAATGACTTAAACTTAATGAGTTAATTGGAATTAGGATGGATTTTTATCAATCTGATATATGTAATTGAAAATTTATGTAATTGAAAATCTTACATACATACATACTACATACATACATATGTAAGGTTTTATCGAAAGTATATTTGAAAGTCTTCGTGTTAAGAAAAGCTTTTAAAAAGATGTATTAGCTTTTAAAAAGTTTAGAGTCTTAACATGGATGTATACGAGGAAAAATATTCTACGAGGATAACTTAGGAGTTATTTAAATTTAATGAACTGGCTTTTTATTGGTCTGATCTATGTAATTGAAAGAAAGATTAATGCAGCTTGTATTTTGTTTTTCTTTCATATATAATTTTTGAGTAATTTTAAAGCTTGTAAAATACTGCTGAAAATGAATTTTAAAGTATGTACGGAGGAAGTTAAAAATATGTATTAAAGTTGATTTTAGAAATGTTTTTAAAGAAATGTTTAGTGTTTTAAAATGAAAGAAAAGGTTTTTTTCTCTTTAAAGAATGTGAAATAATATATTGATTTTTGTTAATATAAATGGTAGTTTATAAAGTTTATAAAGACTATTAAGTGCAAACAGAAATATATAATTTCCACAGCAAGGAAGAAAAGGCAAAGATGGTTAAACTGATTGTTCTATTCAAAGAAGAGATTATATTTAATTATGTTTTTTATTTGGAAATCGCTTCTGGATTTTATGCTTGCAATAATAAATTGAAACTTTGATTTGGGTTTTGCTGATTAGATAGATTTGTGGTTATAGAAATGGCAGAAGTCAACGTTTTTTCCTCCCCGCTTTTAACTTACATTTTCTTCTCCCGTCCCTTTTCCTTCTCCTAGTTTCCCTTTACTTTTATTTTCCTTTGTATTTTATATTTTGATAAACGTAACAAAGTTGAAACAAAAGAACAGAAAGATTCTTACTAGCTACAGAAACATTTGGAAATTATTATTTCTGCCAAAGGAGATGTATTTTTGTCAGGTGAAAGAGTATCCAAATGTCCATGTGTACAATATTAACTCTTTTCTTATTTTGTCTCTGTCACTTATTCCATATATATCATATATTTGCATTCAAATTTGCAGAACTATGTCATTTTTAAGAGCCGTGGTGGTGCAATGGTTAGAATGCAGTATTGCAGTCAAATTCTGCTGACTGCTAGCAGTTCAACAGTTTGAGTCTCACTGGCTCAAGGCTGACTCAGCCTTCCATTCGTTCGAGGTCAGTAAAATGAGGACCCAGATTGCTGGGGGCAATATGCTGAATCTGTAAACCATTTAGAGAGGGCTGTAAAGCATTATGAAGCGGTATATAAGCTTAAGTGTTATCATTATTGCTAAGTGATATTTTTAACTTAATATGTAGAGGTTGTGTCAAATTTTATTCATCGTAACATTCCATTTGACCATGGGAATTTAAACTTTTGCATACAACCGAACAGTAACACAAGAAATGTTCTTTTGCACTAAAAGACATAATTAACACCCGTGTATTTGTGATGGTGAAGAATATCCAACACTATAAAAAGTATAATAAACCAGACTGATGATGCACAATGTACAGAATATATGTAGAGCAGGATTGTGCAAACTATTGCATATGTATATTTTGCCTGAGCATGGATCAAGAATACACATACAGTCTAAGTAGAGAACTTGAGCTGGCATATTTGGGCAGAGTATACCTGGATGGGAAGGAAAGCTCACCTGAAATAGTATAGTACAGGAGAAAAGAGGGAGCAGAAAGTTTGAGCAGAGAGAAGGTGGGCTGGCTAGGTATGACATCAAACAAGTGGATATGCCTAGCAGTGACAATGGGCAGGATGGGTCTGTACAGCAGCGGCAGGAGGGCACACAGCTAAAGGAAAGGAAGGTTGAAGAATTGGGAAAGGATGGGCATTGTTTATCCTTAGGCATCGGGGGTTGTATGCAGGGGTGCGCTGCTGAGGGCTCGCAGGGGTTCGGGAGAGTCCCTAGCTAAAATTCTGTGCAGTTCGGAGAACCCCCAATTCTCATTCCTAGCTGGCCCCGCCCCGCCCCACCCTCCCAGGAGTCCCCACATAGCCCATTTTGGATGCAGGGAAGTGCAGGGTATGTGTGGAGGCTCAGGGAGAGCGAAAAACAGGCCTTGCGGAAGTTCGGAAATGCCAGAAATGGGTCTGTTTCCGGCTTCCAGAGAGCTTCCGGAGCCCGG